TGCTAAACCACTAAGCTGTTACACAGAGGGTTGGAAGTGGAGTAAATATCACATCCTTCTCATCCTGTTTTGTGTATTGCTACACCACCAGCAGGGTCCTTGCGTTAAGTGTGCTCAGTGTGTTCCAATTCTTATTAGAATTAGACTTTCTGGGAGATTAAGCAACATCTGAATGCCTCCCTACTGATCTGTGACAAATTTAGCACTTTATGTCCGTAATAGTGACATAAATATGACCCTATGCCAAACTGCAGGGCAAACCTGGTCCAAGGGTGATGAGTCCTCACTCAGGTGCTTTGGTGGTAGGTAGTCTTCTGTTTGGAGGTGATGATGGCACTTGTGCACTTTTATACCTTCATACTGTTTTCGTAATAGTCCAGTTTCAAGGGAGAAACACTGCTATCTTCCACTCTGTCTCAGTTTTTTCTGCAGTTAGCTTTGCACATGCAGCAGTGTATGTGATTCTATTATGCATGAACTAAAATGCTGTTCTGCCAGGTAGCCACGTCTTTGCAGCAATGCTGCACTTGCATTTGTTTTACTGTTTGTTTTCATTACTCCACAAAGTTATTGTTAATGAACAGGAGTTACATGCTGTAGCTGAGCTGTTTGTAGTGGTGGCCAGGTGTGTCTGCAGATTTTTCTGTATTAGGTGGGGGTGGTGAGATGGAACTGTGTCTCCTGTAACACAATTGCTAATTAATGCAAGACCTAACCTCTTTGCCTTACACATCTGTGTTGTCCACTTCATGTATGAATAACTTTTCAGAGTCTTTAGGCCTGCGCAGTAAAGTCCTCCAGAAAATTGAAGAACTGAGGATGAAAATGATCTCTGTTTCTGTTACTATCCCTGATGAGTTCTTATGTCCTATAACAAGGGAGCTTATGAAGGATCCTGTCATTGCAGCAGGTATGTCTTTAAGTGACGTTGACTAAAATGAATGACTTGAGGGTAAAGATAGGTGTGGGAACACAAAAATGGGCATATCTTATCAGTTGTAGAAAGATAAACTATTCTAAATAGCTGTTGCAACAAAATAGAACTGTGGTAAATATTCAATTTGCCAAATTACATCTCTGATACAGAGAAAAATACTGTATCAAGCAATTCGCTTAGTGTCAGCTCTGCTGATGAAGCTGTATAGATTTTTTTTTTTTTTAAATGTTCCTTCCTCTATGTGCCTTTGCAAATATAATTACAAGCTTAATTACAGAGTTGTCTCAGTGAATGCAAAATGGAATTGTGCACACAGTGCGGGGGGGGCGGACCCAAAAAACAGGCTCATTACTACTCTTGGCACACCATATATATGGCACTTTTACTTAGAAGTTTGTACAGAATGGGATTCATTTAAATTCAGCAAGACCTTGGAACTGAGATATGCAAGGAACAGATGTTACATAGTTAAAACATTTTATGAAGAACTAGTGTTTTGTAGTTCTAATCTTGGGGGCAGAGAGGGGGGGCATATGATCATCAAAAGACCAGTATACTTTTTTGATGCTCTGTAAACAGTGACTAACTTCATACAGTTTTGAGGTATCAGGCCAGACTTCTGAGAATTAAAACATTCAAAATATGAAAACATGTGCTAACTGCTGGAGTGGTAAGCACTGCACTTAACAGGGCTTGAGCTTCTAAACAGTAGCAGTAGGAGGACAGCCTTGCATATCCTTTTTTTTAATATAACTTTGAAATAAGGATACAGTTCTAGAGCAGGATAGTTTTGTTGAAAAGCTGAAAATTGCCGCCAGTCACAATTCACACGTATATTACAAAATCAGATAGGCATTTATAAGAGAAATGGTTGACCTTTTAAATTAAAATGTTCACAGTGTGTGTGATCAATTTATAGTATTAAATATTGGCTGTGTGCCATTCAGTATTTGTGTATTACACTGCTGTCCTGAAACATGGGATTACTCTGCTTTTCAGAACACAGGGTGGGCATATCTGGGAGTTCCTCACACTGCTTTATTTTTATAGAAGTTGATGAATAGTAACAGAAATGTTAGTGATTGCAGCAGGAGAAAGGTTGGTTTGTGGCAAGACAGGAGAAGGAAAGTATACTTTTGTGTTTGGAAACATCTATATTCACTAGGTAGCTACTTCACTGCCCAGCACTACAGAACTGAAGTTCCTGTAGTATAAACACAGCTGACTTGAAGATGTGGGCAATTTTGCAAAGTCAAATTGGAAGAATTTAGATATTTCTGAGATTAGAAAGTAACTGAAGTGAGCCGGATATTTTGTTTAGTTCAGTAAGCTAAATAAGAGTTAAGTAAGACTTTTATGCCTCTGTGCTATATAGAATTTAAGGAAAAATAAAAAGAAGGTAGAATGCCAAACTGCGTATTTCTTTTACTCAAGTGACCAGCCTACATAAGATTTTTTCTATGTTAAGTAAGTAAGTGGCTCATGTTCAATAAAGGGGAAGAAAATAGAGTGTAGCCCTGTGTTAGAGGAGGAGGGGTGGAGGACACAGGTTTATATTTCATCAGAGATGTTCCTGGGTGTTTGTGCTAATACTTGGCTGGGAGGGCAGGGAGGCGGAGGGTGTGATTTATTCCTCTGTTTCTGTTCTTTAAGTAACAGCTTGTTTCGGTACTGACTGGAAAAGCTGAACTCCTGAAACGAGATGGGTGTTGAGGGCTAACTCGGGCTTGGTCAGCCATCTGAGTGCCAACAGTGTTCATTGCTGAGCACTGCACAAGTAGCACTCTTTAGTTGTGTTAGTCACTGGATGTTAATGAGCTTTTACTTTACATTATGGATCATTCAAACTGAAAAGAAAGTCTTAGTTAACATGTGCATAATGTATTTTATTGCTTTGCAGTCAGAGGCAGAAATACGAAACTAGCCTGAACTGTTTATATTCACATTCAGCTTTCATTGCCCCCCCCTTTTTTTTTTTGTTTTTTACTATAAAGGGTTCCTGAAGTGAAAATTATTTTGAAAAAGTTACTCAAGAACTTTAGATCCAGCTAAATGGAAATGTTTGTTTAAATTGTGATTAAAATCTAATAGTTCTGTTAACCAAAGCTGTGCAGTAACTTTAACACCAGTGTGCCATTTATGTATTTTGGTAAAGCACAGCTTTGATTTTGGGGGGTTTTTTTTCTTCCCCTAATTTTTTTTTGGTGGGGAGTTCTCCCCCCAGCACTTTTTTTTTTTTTTAAACTGACATGCTGGTTTTATTCCCAACTGTCTTTTATGTACAGTAATGGTTCAATACCTTTTATCTTTCCTCTCCCATTGTCCTTAACTAGCAACTACAAACATTGTGATATATTTTTTTGTAAGTCGGGGGGGGTGCAGAATATTACTTGCAAATGCTTGGTGAGGCTTGACAATGTCTAGTATAGTGTCTTTAGAGTGATTTGTTTAGTTCTAAACAGAGCTAAGTAACTGTAGGTGCAGGCAACTTGATAAGCATCATCTGCTTTTCTTTAAAGGAATTTTTTTTAAAAGAACAGAGTAAGCACTGGTGTTAGAAATGCCGATTGTCAGTTGCAATTGCCTGGCTAGTCACCCCACTGTTTCAGTGTTTCTTTCTTACTTAGACTAAGTTCATTACAAGGCTGTAAAAAGGAATCACATCTATACTGTAAATAATTCCTTAACCACAAATAAGGACACAGGAAGACTTTTATGTAATTTGGTCCTGTTTATCACTCATGTACCTTAGTCACAAGTTCATGCACGAACATGGCTTAATCCTGTGACTTCATCAGAGACAATCCCTTGGATGGGAAAGGGCTAGTTTTGCAAATGTCCATTGCTGGCATGCCTCTGCTGCTAACAGACATGAGGCAAAATTCCAAGCCAACCAAAATCACTACAGCAGCAAAACGTCTGTGTACAAGTGGAGCCTTTTCTAAAGAGATCTAAACTTTGTGTCCCCTGTGTTGTCCCCACCCCATGCTTACTGCCATAGCTGGCTCTTTGAGGGAAGGCCTCAGACACAGCTGCAAGAATTTTTCAAACAATATGCTGCTTTAACATTGTCAGTGAACTGATGCAGCTGTAACTGACTGATAAACATGCAGTACTTTCTAAAATAGCTTGTACTAGTTAGTTTTTAAATTACACTGTACTTGACAAAGTTGAACCAAATTTTAATCTTGATACTGCTGTATAAAGTTTTATGGTAATATATTTAACTATGTAATTTGTAACAAGTATGTTTATGGTCAAGCTTTCACAGACCATGTAATTTTTCTGGATCTCAATTTTCCTGTTTGGAAATACTGATTCCCTTACATCCCTTTTAAATTTCAGTAGCTAATATCTTTACAGTGTAACAGTGCCCAAGCATCTGTAATAAAAGCTTTTGATAATCGTTTCTTTGCAGATGGCTATTCCTATGAAAAGGAGGCAATGGAAAACTGGATCAGCAATAAAAGACAATCTAGTCCCATGACAAATCTTCCTCTCCACTCTCTTATGCTTACACCAAATAGGACACTAAAAATGGCTATCAGTCGCTGGCTAGAGACTCAGCAGAAATACAGTTAAGCCACTTAGTTTTGAAGTTGTTTATTAAAATTAACTGAAATGAAATTGTATGTAGCTAAAGGAAATAACTCTATCGGAAACAATTGGAAAGAAAAAAATTGTGTTTCTGTTCTAATCTGTGGCTGTCATTTAAATATTTGTTAGAAAAATCTTCACTGGTGGAAGCTCTCAGAAAATTACTGAAAAACTTCTAAGCTTTGGCAATTTTACTTTGTGGTATTTCTGTTTAAGAAATGAAGTATTCAGATTCACAGTTTTTCAAATAAAGTTTTCTTAAAATTTTCATTACATTTATGAGTTTTGAGTCTTGATTTTGCCAAGTTAGTCTTTCAGAAGATAAGAAATAGCAAAGTATATAATCCGTATTTCTTTCTCTAATTTAAAAAACAAAAATGTATCTTTCACTGGAGATGTAGTTGGAAAAGTTGGGAGAGAGTTTCTCCTGTAAAACCATCAGTGACTGCATCTCATCCCACAGGTATATTAATAATCTTTATTTCGTATGGAAAAAATACAGTAGCTGTGCAAAAATAGAACTACAGGACAAGACTAATATAGGACTTGTACAAAATACCAAAGAAACGGTAAACAATAAATAAGCTAAAGCATAATGATGCAAACTCAAAAAGCATTTGTAAAAATGGGTACGGATGCTTACAATGTACATAAAACACTGTACATAAACAAGACATGAAAAGTGACTATGTAAAGTTGACCACTCCAACCTCATTGCACTCATAGGAACATCACTACATCTACTTATTTTCAGAACATTCTTGCCAATATAAAACCTTATTTCCTCTGAAAAACTTCATAACTTCATCCTGTCATGCAACCGCACATACACTTTTCCTCAAACTTTCATCTTCATCCATTTCTTGTGTCTCCCATAAAAACACTTACTAAACATTTCATTGCTGTACCTTTTTCACGAATAAACAATAAATCATTTTGCTTTAAGATAGCACCCAAAGGTGATTAGATAAACTATATAAAGTGCGATTATTGTTAATATGCCATAATATTGTGTTCTTCAGTGCAGTAACCAATATGGTCAAAGCCTTTCAATACACATGCAAATGTCATTGTTTATTCTACTTGATTTCTTCTAGTTACTAAAAATATATTTACATGTCAAAACATGGCTGCTTATAGTTTACTCATACACAAATTATTTATGCTTCCTAAATGTACATCATGCAACCCAGATTAGATCCCACTAGAAAAGTGATAAAATACTTTGATTTAAAAAAAAAAACCCATACATATACAGATCTGAGTATTATCCAGCAGGTATCTTTCTTAACACTGTTTTGAGAAGTAAGTTCTTAAGCATTATAGAGGCACGATCATTATGTAAGTAAGTGATGAGATGTAATATAACCAAAAGCCAAGATTAAAGCCCTATGTAAAAGGAAAGTCTTATTTAATCATAAAAGGTAATGGGAGGGATTTCTCTGCATGAGGTCCTAGTTTGGTGGATTGATGATTCTAATTGACTCTTTCTACACAAATTTGCTATTCCAGTTACTGTAACTGTCCTGTGATGGTAGGAACAGTTTAAAGTGGTTGTATCCCATGAAGTACTGGCCAACATGGACAGCTTCCTCAACTTACTCAAAGTGACCAGCCAATCAGTATTTTGTATAGAAGTAATACCCTATGATATTACGAGCTAAGTTTTACAACCCCATAAATACACAAAATGATATTCATACATTTGATTCAATGAATGATCGCTTTGGTTTTGTAGATGTGACATGACTTAGATGGCCTTCCTTACTGATGTGAGACTGCTGTTTTGATACAGCATCTGGGTATAAACGCAAAGCTTGTTTAGGTGCTCTGGTGTCTTGACACTGGGCAGGTATTTGGCACTTCAGCTCCTTGCGTTCTTTAGCTTGCATACCATTCTGGTTGCTATCTCCTGGGGCAGCACCAGTAGAGGAAATTTTAGTTTGGTAGTGTTTGACTGAGAACTGCTCAAAACTTGAGGACTGAATGCCCCCAGAAGCAACATTTGATAATCCATCCGATGCCTGAGAGTGCCAAGTGCGACTGGATTGAGTATTTTGCTGCTGAAACCTTGCAGTCTTATCCATGATTCCCATAAATGGGGTATTGCGAGGTCTGTGTTCAACAGTACCCTGAACTTGATTAACGTTAGTCTCCTTGAGTCGAACATCTGGGCCTAGCCCCTTAGTACTATCTGAAAAACTACTGGCTGAAGTTAAGCTGCTGGTTGAGCTGGCAAGAATCATACTACTGGATGGAGAACTAGAAGAGACGCCACTGGTTACAGGACTTTGCTGCCTTGCTTCACTGAAATTCATTTGAGTAGGGGCTGTTAACCTGTCAGCGGTTTTAGACTTACTTGCAAAAGAATGAGAAGAGAGATTCTCACTATGCTGTGGATGGGAACACTGGCTGGACATAAATTTCTCATTGTGCAGTTCAGAACTAGGACCTGGGGAAACACTTCCAGATGATAATGTGCTTGTCCCATCCAAATGCTGAATTTTAGAGTGCCGGACTGGCAAGGGACTTTGGGGAAGATGCTGAAAAGATGATTGTGTCTTTGTATTACATTGACTGCTTCCCATTTTTGATCCAGGCTGGATGGAGCTCAGGTGCTGATTAGTTTTTACAATCTGTGCCTGCTTTGTTGGCTGCACAATCAAGCCTGGCTCTCTCAGATATTTATTGCCTGTTCTGCTTTGAGGGGACACAGATCTAGCTTTCTGCTGAACACCTTCTTGAAGGGTCCTGCTGTACGATGAAGCAGCTAAGGAATGTTGCAGCCTTTGTGGAGAGGAAACAGATTCATCAGAGCATGGCAGTTCTTCCTCCCTGTCTTGAAGATTAAAATTATCATTCACACCTTGTATAATGCCCTCCTCCTCATTATCAGAGTTGTTAATTTGCTGTAGTAGCTGTGGAGACTGATGCTTCTGTTGCTGTGTTCTCTGGAACTGTTTGCATTCCTCTTCTACTCGAGCCAGGAGACGTTTTATCTCTTGATTGCTAGGACACAGCTGTGTGGCTTCACGTAAGTCAGCAAGAGCAGCAAGTAGTTTTCTGTTGGGGGGGGGGAAAAGTAAACTTACTAAAAACCTGGGGCTAATCTGAGTCTCAGCATTGCCTACTACTCCACCTCCACCACTTTCAAAGAAATACTCTGATTTGTCATCTCCTGCTGCAGGTGGTGACAATATAAGAATTGGATGTTCTCCAAACCAGGAAATTCTTTCCTATGGTGAAAGCACAGACCCAGCCCTAAACCCTTCCCCTTGTATCATAACAGCTTTTTCAGGAAGGCAGCAGAAGTCTGCTGATAACACTAGGAACTGAAGCTTTTGTCTCATAAGCCCTTTACTGTTATCTTCAGAGTAGGTAACTTGCTGAACTCTGCTTCATGACCATTTGTTCTGCTTAGAAAAGACACAGTGAATCCAAAAGGCACCTCTCCCTATACTTCAACTATACCACTATAGTTTGGTATTCTTCCAGCTTAAAGAGATGGTTCCTCCTCTCTCCCCTTATTTTTATCTTAAACTGCTCATGATTCAACATATCCCTGTCCTATAGAGGCACCCAGTTATTCTTGGTAATAATGCAGCGCTGGAGTTCGGTGGCACACTGCTGATGACATTCTGCTGAGTCACATGGAGTAGCACTCCCATTCACTCTTACACTTAAAATAATCCCCCTTCATATCAATTTGTTACTTTCTGGACTGCCTAATAATTACCTAAATGAGTACTCAATATTGCTTTTTGAGTTTGGTTGGCTTTAACTGATACAGACACCTAACACAGATGGAAAGTGCACAAGGAAAATAACTTTTTCTTTGCCAGTTCCAAATACAACTAGTGGAAAAGAAAAACAGTCATTGAAAGTGTTAGGAAGTTAAAAAAAAAAAAAAAAAAATCAGTGCAGACAGATGCACAGAATCAAACAGTACCTGCTGTTCCTCTTGGCTCTTGCCCTAGCATAATAGGCTTCGTAAGACTTTGGTTTCAGATCCAATGCTTTGGTAGCAAACTCTTCAGCCATACCAAAGTCCTAATAATTTAAACAAATGTACTCATTATACATTGACAATAAAAGAAAGCTGCACGCTCCTTATTCATGGTACTGCTTCAAAAGTGCGGGTAGCTTATGCAGTATAGAAAGTCACCTTTATTAGTTAGCAAGAGCAGGTATTTTCTGAAAGACTGAGAACAGACCTCATCTTGCTAACCTTGTCTCTCATGTCTAAGGGAAACTGACTCTAACATAGCTAAAAATCAATGTTAATATAGGTAAGATATGGTTATTTTCAACCCAAAGATGTTAAAATGCTAGAAGAGACTGCATGCTTAGCAGCATAAATGACCACCTCAGATAGCAAGGCTTTAGAATGTGTTTTGAAAAAAGGCCAGTTAAAGACCTAGGAATTTAGAGAAAAACAAGAAAAATCAGGAAAGGGGTTGGACTAGTCCAGAGCTTTCTTTGATAAGGTATGTGAAATTTTTAGAGAAGAATTATGCTAGATGTAATGTATTTGGTCTTCATTTAACAAGAACACAGAATAAGAGTTTAGTAAATTGTTGGTTAAGCCAAAGACTGGAATTAACAAAGCAGGATTTAAATGGGGGCAAGGACAGCTATGAGGAAGATGAAGGCAGGAGCAAGTCTAATTTATGTAACAGCCATGCACAGCACAGGGTGTCCATGATACTGAATTCTATTGAGCATGATGATACAGGAGGTTGGAAAGTATTAACACCCCAAAAAACGTCCTGAGATATCACGCAAGAGCAGAGCAATGATGTGATGAACTTGACCTTTAGATGTAAGGTGATGCACTTCAGGATTAGCAAAATGTAAATGAGAGTTTATCAGTGGGATATGATAAGAAACACACACACATGCACTAGTTGGTCACAGAGCCACTTTCTGCTGTTAGCTTGATGCAACTGAAAAAGCCAATCTCATCTAGGAAGGCATCAGGAGAGGTAGTTCTAGCACAGAAAAGAAATGATTAGTACTGTTGTGCAAAGCAGCAGAACTGCCTATGTAAAGTCCTGGACACCTATGTTTAGAAATTCTTCAAATGGGAGCAGATGCCAAAAACAACTTGGATGCCTAGGGAATTAAGAAGTTACCGTCTGAAAAGAATGAACAGTGTAAAGTATATTCAGAAAATCAGAAGTTTTTGCTCTGATGGTCATTCAGGTTCTTAGCAGCCATCTGATGCACTGGTGAAGGTACAAAGAAACAACCAGCACATACAATACAGCCATAGTAGTAGGTTATGCTGTATGATAACAAAGGGTAGCGGTGGCAGCATTTTCCACTTAGTCTTTTAAAAAGTACCAAAACCATCCAGCAGTTCATCATTCCAAAATAACTGTATTACATAAGAGCAGCTGTAATAGATCCCCCACTGCAACATGCCCTCATCTTACGAACTGTCCCCATTTGTTGGCACAACAAAGCCCAGTATCAGTATACAATGAAAAGGATGCTAAAGTAGCAAAAATAAACATCCAAGTACAAACTCAGTAATGCAGTAGAATAGAAGTCTAAGATTCCCAATGCCAGAGAGGCAACAGATTAACAGCACAAGCTTACATTTGTTTTTCGGCGACATCGTGATAAATTTAGGTATAATGAAACTCTCAGCTCATCGAATGCTTTCATTTCTTCTCCAAATCCTTCCCTTGGAAACTTCCTCAAGGCATACTGATAGCGCTGTGCTGCTTCCTTCATCTTACCTTTCTACAAATTTAGGGAACAAGAGGCTTTTCACAAACTCTTAATATTGCAATACTGTTGCAAAAAAGCACATTTATATTTGACACCTACCAACAGGTGCTCTTCAAGTAGAAAACACGGAGCCAGTTTTTTTTTAAAAATAAATATATACAGTATGAATTACACTTACACACAGACACAATGAGAGAACTTGCATGCTAACTAGAGCTTGTGTTTGTTTCTAAACTCATACCTTTAACGGTATTTCACCAGGATATTTGCATTAATACATACTACTTGTACCGGAGAAATTCATGTATGTACAATTCATGTATGATACAATTCTTTTTTTTTTTTAAACAGAGCAGTCAAATATCTGATGATGCATTATTCAAACATGCAGTCCAGCTACTGCCAGATTCACATAGGTGTCTCAGCCATGATTAGCTGGGTGACCGAGTGTATGGATTTAAAGTAGTAAAAGGTCACTCTCCTACTGCTTAACAGAGGTTGAATAAGAGAGCTAAACTGTCCTTCAGGACTACCTGAAAGATCCACCCTTGCATTGGAAATATTCAGACTCTCCAAGAGATGCTTGGAGAACATCTCCATAATGAACTGAAGATTTGAGACAGTTTTGCTAAAAACATTGAAATCCTCCTAGTATGAGAAGAAAAGCAAATCTTTTAGTTGACAGATGAAGAAATTTTTCTCTTTATGGATATTACAAGTTAATTTATTTTCATAAACATTGGGTGTTTTTTATTATTTAATTCATCTTAACACTCAAAGTAGGTCAAAATTTACTGTTGAAACTGGCAAGGAAAATATTTAAGGTTTATCTTATTTTATTTGGCTGGAGAGCTGAAAAGTAGTTATTGCTGTACTGTGAGCACACTCAAATACATGTTACTCTGAAAAATAACGATCCATTTAAAACACTTTGGCAAATAAATAAAGAATATTGGAAAAAGTTTAACAAGCTAAGTGACATACTACAGCTCTAGCAAGTCATTCAAATTACTATAATAAAAGTAAGCACTCTAAAAATAGATACCAGCAGGGAATTCAACCTCTTGTAACAAACTGTAAAACATATTAGTACCAAGTCCTGCTGTGTTACTCTGTGGTCTCAGAGTCTAGGCAGGGTTCAACCTGTGGAGCAACTTGAGGAGAAACTGAAGAAAATGAATTGGTGCCAGCGATGCAGTGGCACCTTCTCCCTCAACAACCAATGAGTCGCATTCAACACACCACTAGAGAAGTGTGACATAGGAGAGGATTCCCAGGGATGACAGAACTGCCTTTGTAGCATAAAAGCTGTTACCCTTTAGGTTGAAAGATGTCCCATGCTTAAAGGTACCTGCTTGGATATAAAGCTCTAAACCCACTTCAGGATCAATAAACTTGATAAATCATCCAGATGTATTCGTTAAGATTCCTATACAGAATTTGGGAGCATCTAAGCAGGTCTACCCTGCTTCATGACAGCAAAGTCTCAAGGGTCTCTCTTCTGTACTATGCAAAGCCATTTGATATAGAACAAAGATCAGAGATAAGGTGGCAGATATTTGAGGGGCCTTATAAAAAAACCCCTACAAATTAAAAGTCTTGCAGCTAGAACAGACTTTGAATGATGCTTCTATAAGCCGTTCAGCAGTGTTGCACTAGTGAAATAACACAGGAGTATCACACAGTTTACAAAAATAAGTCCAGTCTCTCTTCTGAGCAACACATCACCACCAGTAAAAAGAATGTATCAAAAGAGCTGTCACTTTCCTCATTATATATTTAAATAGCACACAGAAGAACATTATCCAAAAGGAAAGGCTATGCCTAACTGTCAAACAAGCACCTTACAGTTGCTCTTAAGAAGTAACTGACTGCTACAAATGTTCACAGAGAGACTTGCTCAACAGAAAGAAAATGTACTTAATATTTATTTATTTTACACGGGAGTTTTCAATGATTCTTTCCCAGGGTTCTCAAGATTTCTTGGTCTCATTCCCAACATGAGAGGATATACAAGTACACATCATCTTTGAACAGAAAAGGAGGTATAAAGAACTTTAATCTACCTTCAGACAGAAGTCCAATTATAATGTTCTGCTATCAGAAAAAATAAAAATCTACCTACTTTGTACAGTATATTTCCTTCTTCCATCAGTTTCTGCAGCAGAATAAGGAGAATATCGGGTTTTGAGGTGGCCATTGCCCATGCTGCATTTCCTGCAAGTTAAATTTTAAGGATCTCTGACAAAAGGGAAGAAAGTGCGTTTCTGATATCTAGTCACACTAGAAAGCCTAATCGTACTTCAGTAGATATTCCACCTGCATGGAACTATTATTATTATTATCATTATTAGTGTGTGCACATATATTTAAAATATGTATATATCCATACCCGCCCCCTGCCGCCTCACACAGATAGCAGCCAGATATTAAATGATCTGATTCATTTTACCCCTGGTCTAAAGCCAGTATAGGACAGTATGAAAGTCATGGTAAAATTCAGGCCTAAGTAAGGATCTGTATTTGATCATACTTAGCACCCAAATAATAATAAATGATGATTTAAAGGTACTACAGATTCAATAATTATCACACAGCTGCACCATCTACTTGCCTACTGATAATACATGATTTGGACGTATATTTTTTGCCCACCGTTTGCAAAAATTTATGATTCTATAATTTACTGAAAGAATGTTATTTAAATGTAAAACTTCTTAATCTAAATCATTCATAGTGTCAGAATTAAGTATCACTAATAGCGTAATCATAATTTTCTTGTTTAAGTGTATCATGAAAGAGTAACCACGTAAAGACTGACTCCTCCAGACCTCCTCATCAACATATATGAAAGAAAAGAATAGAATAAAATTACTTGCATTTCCTCACTTCTGAAGTGAGTCTTGAGTGTCTGCCTTTAAAAGAAAGGTTGATTTCTCTTAAGTGGGCATCTGCAAACCATACAACCTGCAAAAATCTAGTGTGTATTTCAAGATTTATTTTTTTAAATCTACTTTTCTAGCAGAGCAGATATTCAGTTGTTTCTCTTGAGTATAGGATAGTTTTACTAACCTAGTTTAGCTCCTTTTCTCAGTAGCATAACCACTACTGACGTATTACGACATCCGATAGCTCTGTCCAGTGGCCGCATGCCACTGTGGTCAACATGCTCAATCATTGCTCCTTTCTCTACCAAATACTGCACCTGTGAAGAGAAACAAGACAAGCCATGTAACATTATTTTTGGTAGGAGCGGCAGAACAGTGAAATATTTAAACTACCACCTGATCTTCCTTGAATTATACCAAGTATACACTCCAGAGTATGCTAAAGCCATTTTAAATCCATTGAACTGAATCTATTGAAAAAACACAGCATGGGAATACTATCAAACTGCACTGAAGAGCTGCAGTTAAGGAATTAAAAACAAAAAAACAACCACACCCCAAATTCCTGGAAATACCTGTGTCAGAAAAACACTAAGGCCAATACATTATGCTTGTTCCCTCCTTTGTTCATGTTCTGCATGCCAATATGCAGACACGGCAACTCAAGCATAAGGGCAGTAAGCTCAGATGAAAACAGAGTAGCAGCGTAGGCCCTGTAGTTTCAGCTTCAAATACACCGCAACACTACAATGACAGGCATGAAGTGCAGTACCAGAATATGCTCCTAGTATAGGACACAACGCTATACAGATACAATAAACACAAAATACACAGGCTACTATTGTGTAATGCAAGATACCTAAAACATTCTAGTTAACAGTGTAAATACAAGTTATGGTGCTGAGGTACCACTTCTTGCTCTATATGAAGAAAAACACATTTGTAATTTTATTCATTTCTTAACCATTCATTACAACAGTCTAACGTTGCAGTTGGACATAAATGCAGCAAATGTAAAATGCAGAAAGGGCAAATAAGAAAGTTTAAGAAAGCAAAATAAGTATGCCGGACACTATCAGCTTCCACCAAGCATTCACCGAGCATCCAGAGCAACAGAGTAATTCTAGTAATTGTCCATCAGCAATGCTAATTAAAAGCGCAATATATAGGAAACAGCAGCGATGGCAGGTTTGATGTAAGCAATAGTTCTTTCATGTAACCATTGCTTGCCCAAATGCGACTGGCAGTAATCTAGTATGGAAAGAGGGATTAACAATCCTGCCCATTGACAGGCCTCCAAGACCCAAAGCTGCTGGCCTGCTGAGTGATCTCTTAATTAGTATTATTCCACCTTTGCCTGTTGCCCTAGCACAAAGATCAGGCTGTTCAGCCATATGAAGCGCTGATGTGGCCAGTCTATCAGGTAAACTAGCAGTCTGTACTACTCCAATGCAATAAACTACAGTAAAAGTATGTACAGGAAACTGGATATCCGTCATTCCCAAGCAGGAAATAAATCCCTCTTCAGGTACCCAGTGTTACCTAGAAACACTTGCAGCGGCAGGAATAGCTCCATAATGTGACTTCTGAAACCTAAAGCCAGTACAGAATCTAAGGGCTTATTTACAATTTCAAGTTAATTCTGACTAAGGGTGAATGGGACTTAAAGTGCTATATAGAAAGTTATACTGTATGGCAGCATTTTTATTCAAGAACTGCTGTTTTGAAACAGGACGTTGTATATGCAAACTCTATAAATAAAGATGTAGTGAGTTTGAGGCTGCATTTCCTATTCTTTCTAGTTCCCTGGTGAACTCTTGGATCTGTTTATAGTGCATGCAGACTTGAGCATGCCCTTCCATGCAGTTTGTGGCAATTGCATTCCCATCTGGTCAGGCTTCTGAATTGTGCTTAATTACTGAGTTTTGAAGCATGAGAACAAAAATATACAATAATTTCAAAAATCTGTGATTTTAAAGATACAGAGGATTCTAAATCACAGACTTTAAACTTATTGTATACTTTTGATCTCAGTTACAGGCATGGTCCATTTCAGATTCAGAAAAACTTCACCTAAAATGCCTTAAATTCTTGGATTGTAACATTTATTACAGAGGAAGAAGGTAGTATGTGAGAAAGGTACAGGACTGAAAAAGGAACTTCAGTTGTTGTCCTATTTCTGAAATGGCCTGTGGAACCAACTGAGAAAAACTGAGTTTACACCTCAAGCCTTGTATTTCCACATGACAAATGGATAGTAACACTGAGATGTGCTCAGTGCCATCTTCACAAAATGAAAAACATAAGGATTTCTAACAGTTCTCTCCCTATCATGCAAAGCATGTAAAAGACAAGTAATGCTGCCTTATGATGGAGAAGCAAAATCTTTCTGCATTTCATCTATTCTGGCAATATTATTCTTCCTACATCTCTCACTTGGGGTCTCTGTTCCCTTAAGATACCCAACTGACTGGGACCCTGTCAGGTTACCTCAATGGCTTTGCAGAGGCTGAAAAAAGATATTTTCCTTTCATGTCCCACAGACCTTTTTTTTTTTTTTTAATTCCAGTTCATCCAACACAGAAATTTTAAATGCTACTTTTTATTGAGATTTAAAACACTCACAATGAAGTACAACAGCGCACCGTAAAACATAACGGCATAATGCTGGACTTCATCACAACTATGTCGGTACTAAAACCTTATCTAGAAAATGCTTTTCTGAGTAAACACTTGCACTGCAGTCAAGATGCCAGCAGTGTAAGCATCTTGGCTACTACCTCAAATTTCCTTTCTATTTCGGTTGGCAATATTTTTCCTAAGCCTTGTTTTGTATTATGAAAACTCAATACATGCTTAGTTTTTCTACTGTTAGTTCTACTTACAATATCAGCATCTCCATAAAAAGCTGCCAGGTCTAGGGGTGTTCGTCCATTTTTGTCTGTCTGATCAGTTGTTGCACCTTTCTCAACTAAATACTGAACCACTTCCCTGTGGCCTTTTAGACATGCCCAGCTCAAAGCTGTCAGTCCTTCTTTGTCCAGAGATGAAATAGTTGCACCTGTAAAATGAAAATTAACTTTGTTATGAAGATGTCCTGTTTAATAGGCAAAATTATCTAACTCACACTGATGCAGTCTCTGGAACAAATGTGCAGCCTTGAACCACTATTTATTTTCTACCTTCAGAAAGCAGAAATTCCACAGTGCTCAAATGTCCTTCACAAGAAGCCACCATAAGTGGAGTTCGGCCTTGCTTGTCACTTAAATTCACATCAGACCCATGCTCCACTAGAAGTTTAGCAATCTGAAATAGAAAATAGCAATTTAAAAATACATTGGCAGATTTAAATTTTAGCCATAATAGCATGAACTTTTAAAGAGGAGGACTAAGGTTTTATAGCAGTCATTGAGAAATCCTGTGCAACTCAAGTCTTAACTGTTTGCAATTCAGGGCCTCCTCCTGACAGGAGTGGCCAGCGTGAGGAAGGCTCCTGACTCTAAGGTTCGCTCTCCATCACTACAGAAGCAGTACAGAGGATCTGAAATTGCCTCTGTTCTTGGTCTAGGAAATAAAATATTTTAACCCTTACGTATTATTTTTCAGGTATACTATAACTAAGGTTATCATGCAGCTGATGCACTTTCGAATCCTTTGTATTACTTTAAATAACTTAAAGCGAGCTCCTGAACACATCCCCTTGAAGTCGATGCAAATGAGTATTAGAAAATTTACACTAATTTATTACAGGACTAGAGATGGGAAGAATCAAGGACCGCTTCCCGAAGGAATCCATTTAAGTCGCGAAGGTGTGTCAGACCTGCCAGTGCCCCTGCCGTACTGCACAGAAAAGTGGAGGAATCCCCCTTCTATTAGCTCTCGTCACAACTGCTCCGTGTTCAAGAAGTAATTCGCAGACTTCCAGTTTTCCTCTTCCTGCAGCAGCTGTAAGGGCTAAAGAAAGCACTTTCATCAACATAATCTCTTAGCTGTTTTACCACATCCACGTTATATGAGTGTTACTGAATCCCCACTTTTTTCAACTCGGCTGCTCCATAAGATTTTCCTTACTATTTTCAGACTCAAATTAATTAGTCAGAATCAGTTTAAGTCAATAAGCCACAGTCATTCTCTGGTAAATAAAAAGATGTCTCAAAGATAACAACTGTATCATGTGCATAGGTTTTAGGTTAAAAGGAATCTTTATGAAAATTTTGGATAAACCCACCAGCCTGAGGCAGTTCTAGTTCCTTTTTCATTAATAATTTTTTTCATGACAAGAAAGCTTCATCTCTTTTCATCAGGCCCTTGCCAAAGGTGAAGATGACAACAGTTCTGGGATTCAACAAAGGGACTGTAACTCAAGTTTCAGGAATTACTTTTTACTTGAAGCCTAGCAGTGATGTATTACCAAACCATATTTAGATCTCTGCAGAAAGTCCGTGTCTTGGACAATTTAGCTTCATTCTGCACTAGTTAAAATTGTTTTCCCTGTTTTTCATGGTGAAAAACACAGTAGGTTATCAATCAATAGTTCTAATTCCTGTGTGTTAACTCTTGCTCTAGACTTCAAGGGATTACCGTACATTTTCCAGTACACAAGAGACATCAACATTCTAATTCACCTTAAAAACCTTTTTTGAACCGAACAGTGTATGTTGTCAAGAGCAAGTGCTCTTGACTCTACCTAAAACGCAGTAACCTTGCAACTTTTGAACAGATAGATACTACTGTCAGAAGACACCTTTTCAGCTCTGGCTGAAAACACCAGAGTATCACAATTGCACACACACCTACACACACTGGCGATGGAGCAGTCCAACACAATATAGTAGCAAATGTGTCCAGATAGCACAATAATAAAACCACTGATATGATCTTTATTTTAGATATTCATAAGGTACAAAAATTACTGCACATTGATGTTCACAATATACGGCTTATGAGAAAGCAGGTAATTTCCACACATTTGGCACTAACGTTTTGTGACTCTACTCAGTACCATAATGCTGAAGCGTTGCTGTAAGGCTATACATTTAAACAACTTTCCACCTTCTCCTATAGCTTATTATACTCCTTGCTTTTCACTGTGACACTCACTGAAGCTTGAAAATAAAATATTTTCCCCATCATGATTTTTCCCCCTCTTCCATTTGGCTTGCATCAACTTATTGTGTGTTTTAAATGGAGCTTGAAATTAAAATGTTTTTTTTGTTGTTTGTGTTGAAGCATCATCAGTAATGTTAACACTGTTTAGAAAATAAATTCATGTGCTAACTTCTGCAAGAATCAGCAAAGGACTCGCCCCTCCATTTTCTAAATCCTAATACCGTATATTTTCCAATAAGAAGTGGGTCAAATTGTGAATTTCTTGTTACTTATTTTTTAGCATTTTCAAACATGATAAAGTAGAATTTTAAAAAATTCCAATGGATGCTGAAAATAAATGAAATTACAAACACTGCAGGAAGTAGTAAATTCATTATTTTTTTTAACAACAATATCTAACCCGTTGACTCCACTCACTTCACTATGTTAGTTACATCAACTGTTTAGATCTGAACAACTGGAAAGTAACTGTTACAGATAACAACATTAAAGGCAAAAACTCCCTATCTTGTTCAAAGACTTCACATTTTTTATTCTGTCAGTACCAGCATTTTAGCTCATGGTGTGACTAACATTACAGCAACAATATAACTCCCTATACCTTATCCAGGTATAAGATGACTAAACAATTCCTACAGTCAGCTTAAACAACATCAGGACTAAACCCTGCTCAGGAATTCCAACTATTCTACTCAAAAGGATCACCTCTGATACGCCTAATGGTACTACACAAAAGTCGAGAGCAGCCAAAATGATGCAATTTTCTATCACTTTTACTAGACAGTAAGTAATGCTCCAAATTAGCTAATCTGTATAGAACATATAAGGCTGGAAAAACTTCTCAGAGGTGTCTTTAACCTAAGATCATCTTTTCCAACTAAGACATAGCAATGTGGATTTTGAAAAGGGTAAACTAAGGAAATTTAGAAAACAGGATCCCACCCCTACATCCTCTCATTTCATGTGTTACATGACTTCATCTGCTCCACTTTAATTTGCTATTTAACTTGCCTTGAACCTGTACTTCATACAGACATGGCCTTCAGCTAAATTAATGTGATAAAATAATGGGAATGGCAATGATGATCTTTAGCTGTCTTCCACTCTGAAAGACTCACAATATAAAATGCCATTGAAACAGCCTCCACAATGAGCAGAATCAACTTAGGATTCAAGTAGATAACAGCAGTACAAATATATGAACAGAAACAAGCTGTTCCTGAACATGTTACTATATGAAAAGGAACGATCTTTAAGGTTGTTCTGTGCTGTTTCAAGGTGCGAAGGATTTTCCCTTTTTAAAACAGGCATTCACAAAATGCACTGCTCCTCACTCCGCCTCATACTTCTAAGCGTGATCACTATCCAGTTCTGTATCATAATTCCATTTACAAAATAGACAGCAAAGAACCATGCAGTACAATACAAACGTAAGTGCACTCACACATGCAAAACTGTGAAGATTCCAGCAGCATACAAATTCGCATTCTTTCCACATAAATTTTTTTACAGTCAATAATTGAAGAGCAATATTTCATATAATGCTAATTCTGTGGCTATCTTGACTCGCTCTACATGTTTTTCTTGTCCCAAACTTACTACTCTGTATCTCGGAGAGCACAAAAGTGCCACAGGGAACTGCCTGTAGTTCTCTGGACTCAGACCTTCACCTCCATCACAAGTTAGGACTGCATAAGGAAGCACTTATTAATGAGTAAAGATTCCCGATACATTAAGCAAGAATTTCAATACAAAATGTTGACAAGAAAATATTAAAGGAAAATTAATTTAGAAACAGATGTATGTTTTTTGGAATTCATTGGATTTGCAACAAGAGTTTTGTATATGCACAGGAATAAAGAACATTTGCTTCTCCAGTATGTGAAGAGGCTACTGACAATCATTGAAAGAGACTGTTTTCCCACCTGCTTGTGCAATCTCAGCTGTTTAAATGAAATTGAAATGCTACTCATATGGTAAAACAGGAAAAACTTTCAGCTGCAGGCTGCACAGTTTACAGTCCGTCTTTAAAAAAAAATCTGGCATTTCCCATACATACAAAGGCATGTCATTTTATCCATTGCCTAATTAGATCAAGTGAGGTAATTGCCTAGCACTTCTTGCAAACAAATGAGATTTAAAAAAAAAAAGTCCTCAAACAGATAATCCAATGAAATTCTACACTGAAGCTTGAAGCACTATATTTCCAAAGACAATTTTCAATTTAATTAGAAAGTCAGTAATTTATAGTAATTTTAATATAAAATACTTTTCCATACATGAAATTAGTAGATTTAATAAGTTAAAAACTCTATACTTATGCTTATAAACTGCATTTTATTATTAAAACTGGTATTTTCCCATGAATTTTATCACAAATATTAAATTAAAAAAAAATCAAAATTAAAACCTCTTACTTCTTAAATGAGCTACTCTAATTAGGGAAAATATGAGAAAGGAAATACCTGTTTCTCCCCACAAGGCATCAGTGTCATTGATGTCTATTTCATGTTCCTTTTCAATTGTCAAGATGTAACAAACCACCTGCCAAAAACAGTTAGCAGAGATGTAGTGAGTCACAAAAACCACAGTTGTCACTTGCAAGATATAGCAACAGGTAAAAGATTTAAAACAAGTGAGAGTGCTTCTCTCTTAATGCATATGAATCAAAGAAAATTAATATTGTTCATAATCCATCAAAGCAAATTCAGTATGATTTTTAGTATGACTTGAAGACCATTGAACGTTATTGAAAGCAGTTTAAAAAAAAGCCCAGTGCCCTTCTGTTAATTGGTTCAGGGTGTTTTTACATGATTATTATTTTAATGAGCTCCTGTGTGACCTACATATACCAGAATAATCAAGACAAACAATGCCAAAAATAAAAATAAAGCATCCCAGTTCAGTGAGGAAATTCCATATTGTCTAAAATGAAGGGAAAGGGGGGGGGGGGGGAGAATATTTGCATACATATTGTAAAATAGGGATTCCTATGTTTTTACTGTTACATTGTTTATATCTTAGCTGTTTTTCAAAATTTCTTCACAGAATGGTTTAAGCATACATCGTTAAACGCTGATTTTTAAACTTGAGACATGTTATAAATTAAGTTTTGCTGTGTTTTTATTTCATTAAGGAAATCTGTTTTGTAACCACCTGCTAGTAGAAGATTATTAAATTAAAACCTCTTCTACTGGCTATTTTAAACAAATTTTCTAATGGGGACACAGTCACTGAGTCTGCAGCAAGCAGGTAAGTGATCAGAATGACACTAACAAAAGTTTTGGATACTACAGGAAAAAGCAAAGGTAGGAGAGGAGAAAGTACATGGATATTTTCAGGCTGTATGTGAAGTGATGTATACAATGTATGGAAAATCCTAAAATTCGAAATGCTAGAATATGATTTATTTAAAATTGATGAAACACACAGGACTTTTTTCTAGTTAAGAAGAATTAAGCTTCTTATTGTCCTAAAAATAAAGATGGACATTTTCAGGTAAGGTATTTATGATTAATGTGATCTGTCTTGCTGATATTCAGGAGTTGACTGCTTTGATTTACGCAGTGGATAGCAAACAAGAACTTTTATGAGAGTGAAGGAATTATCCATTAATTCAAATTAATCATAGTTCAGAATTCTCAACTTTATATTGTGAGACAGTTATGGCTTATATATCATATAATAAATTAATTGCACATAGACATTTCTATGTTTGAATTGTGTAAACAACTTTAAAGATCAGATTCTTGATCTTATAGCAATTAAAAAAATAGATTTAAAAGAAGTAAATACTGAAATGGTTTTATCGAAGAGATTTTAAGTTTCCACTTTTGGCACATCACTTACACAGGAAATTTCATCAGCCTAGTGTGATCTTTATTCAAGTATCTTTACTTACTGTTTACTTTTATATCAAGGTTAAGATTTATTTTCCCAATGAACAGAAAACATACTTGTATTATCTAAATACCTAAAGCATTTTGGGTATTTCTTGTGTTTACTTTTAGTTTTCCTTTTACTGAATAATACTGTAATGCTGAAAACACTTCTTTTATCATGTACATGCACAACCCCAAATTTCTGTCTGAAGTGACATTAAGCTGAAGTAAGCTGAAATCTGTACTTGACACGTGCATCAGGTTAAAAAGTTAAGCATGTGCAAGTATGTGCAAGATACAATTTGTTATACTATGAAAAAAAAATTCAACCTGAAGCAGTAACATACTAAGGTGGATCACTGATATAGAGTATCATCACTACCCCTAGAGATTTAGGACAACTTCCAAGAACAATGAGGAAAAAGTAGACAGAAAATTACATATAAACAAATCCTGAAGCAAATAGTATTACTGGATAATTAACTACAGCATTTAAAACAGCTGCTAAGAATGCATGCTACTTTAAGTATCAGAAGTTTCAATAGTTCTGCTTTCCAAACCTCTTTTAAAAATAGCTGCAAGCACTGCTGTACAATTCTGATAAATTCAAACAGATTTGGAAATATCTGAACTATCAACCTACCTGACAGTGTCCCATACTGGAAGCTGCTGTTAGCGCTTGTTGCAGTGCATGGCTTTTTGTTAGTGAATTTTGTTCTTGAGAAGGAGTTATCCAAACAACATTGAGCAAGTATTCAAGGATATCACAATGCCCTCTCAATGCACTATGGACCAAAGCACACTGGCCTTTCTTGTCTACACAGTCAGCCTGCATTGGGGAAAAAAAAAATGTTCAAAGTTAAAAAGTCTAGTGAAAGGCCATGGAGAGGAGAAACTCCTGAACACTGCAAGACAGCAAATGTCACTCTTATCTTCAAGAAGAGCAAGAAGGAAGATCTGGGGAATTAAAGGCTAAACAGCCTCACCTTAGTTGCTGGGAAGGTGATGGAGAAACTAATTCTGGAAACCATTTCCAAACACATGAAGGACAAGAAGGTGATCAGAGTAGTCAGCATGGGTTTACAAAGGGGAAATCATGCTTAACCAACCTGACAGCTTTCTACGATGAGGTGACTGGCTTGGTGGATGCGGGGAGAGCTGTGGATGTTGTCTACCTTGACTTTAGTAAGGCTTCTGACACTGTCTCCCATAACATTGTCATGGACAAGCTGATGAAGTACAGGTTACGGAAGTGCGCAGTGAGGTGGACCCAAAACTGGCTAAACAGATGGGCCCAGCTGGTTGTGAACAGTGGCAGAAAATGCTTCATGAAGTCTATGTAGATGATCTGGACTCCTCATCCCCAAGTCTATGTGTGTCAGTAACAGTCTATAACTGTCAATAACAGTTTTCTTAAGCCTTTGCATTATTGTTTTTGGTTGCAAACATTGCAATCTGTGTATCAGCTTACCTTTGCACCTTTTTTGCACAGCAGTGAAACTATGTTCATGTGACCTGCAGCGGCTGCGTAACTAAGTGCTGTCATCCCATTTTCTGAAGTTCCATCAATAGCAGCTCCAAATTCTAGTAAAAGAGTGACCACTTCTTCATGTCCAAGGTGCGACTGAACACATAGCACTGGAGCATTATTTAGTACTTCAGTCCTGTAATTTACATTTGCTCCTGCCAAGATCAGCAGCCGACTCACCTAAAATTTAATTTAAACAAAATAATTTTCTCCTCAGATTTGTCTGAATTTATTAAGAGACTTTAACATCTTGATTCAGGTACTTATATGTTGCTCCCTAATTTTGATGCAGATTTTATTGGCAGATAACGACTTTATCACATATATAGCAATATGAAAGTTTAACATCATCTGTTAGCAAATAAATTATTGTATTACTGAACTATGTACTCTTAATACAAGACTCACCTCTCCCCTGAAACTCACTACTCTCTCACCACAATTTCATCTGTGGTAACAGTAAGATTTCTGAAGGTGTGACTTGCTACTACTCTGCAGATTTATGTAACTGACTCCATTAATAGAGAATCAAATTGCATAAAAAGCAATCTCAAAAAAACTGTAAGAGCATGCGTGTGTGCATGTGTGTGCACGTGCACGCAAATTTCCAATCAAAAGGCTTAGCAGTTGGCTAGAATTGCAACTTGTCAACTTGGATTTCCCTACCCATAATCCAGGGATTCAAATAATAGTGCAAAGTTCTGGCATTTTACATCCTTTCACTCTCACAGTATCCCCTTTTACAATTCCCTTGATATTTCCCTATACAAGAAAATATGGCTGAACTCTGCCCAGCAAATGAGGTGGTACATCTGACCCCTGAAAATGTATCCACACACATCTATGCTACAGAGCGTGGTTACATCAGAACCAGGGTGAAACCCTTCTTTTCATCAAGACTATCAAGGAAAACTGAACTGGACTTTAGCAACAGCTTAAAAAAGTACATGAAGACTTGTTATAAAGGAGTTCAGTTACAGATGCATAGTGGTGGCTTTTTTTTTTTCACATTAATTTCAACATTCATCAACAGAGTTACAGCAACAGTGACAGATGAAGCACTGATTGTACATGAATGCTTATTTTCTTACCTTCACATTGGGTGTATAGATGTTTCTCAGAGAAGCAAGGGCTGCAGACAGTCCATCAGTACTATAACCAACCCACAAGGCTTGAAGATGACTGGAAGAAACTCCAGTCCTTTTACTGAGACCCTAACAGAAATGATATAACAGGAAATTACTTGTCTGAGAACAAAGGTCGCGGCTCTGGCTGGGGGATCTGCACCACCTACCCCAGTGGTGGCCCATGCCTCCACCCAGATGGAGCTGCTGAAAGGAGAGGCTGCAGTGCAGACCTCAGACTGTAGGAAGTGCCTAGACCTTTCTCCTGGGGCAGGGACAGGTGGCAGACCTGCCTGCAAAAGGTGTGCCCAGGTGGAGGACCTCCTGCAGGAGGTGCCTGAGCTGCAGGAGGCACTGAGAAGGCTGTGTAACATCAGGGCGGCAGAGGAGTTAGACAGCTGGTTACAAATGCAGTTTGCAGTGGACCCACAGCCCATGGCCAAACAGCCAAAAACTCCCCCACTGGCACACACAGAAGGGAGGGGGGCCAATAATGCAGAAGAATGGATGGTTGCAACGGCAAGGACCAGCAGGAGGAAGAGACTTCCCCCAGAGCCTGAGGTGCCCTTGTAGAACCACTTCACCGCTCTGCAGACTGAAGAGGAAAGACCCATCGCATCAGGAGAGATGCTGGACCTGAGTAAGGCAGCCTGATCTGCCCCCATACAACAACCAGCGCAACTAAGAAAAGGCGATGGGTGATAGTAGTAGGCGAGTAGTACCTCTTCTGAGAGGTATGGAGGCACTCATTTGCTGACCTGATGCACTGTCTAGAGAGGTGTGCTGCTTACCGGGGGCTCGTATCAGGGATGTCACTGAGAGCCTACCAAGCCTCATACAGTCCACTGACTATTATCTGCTGCTGTTGTTTCACGTGGGCACCAATGACGCAGCCAGGAGCAGTCTGAGGACTACCAAGAAGGACTGCAGAGCCCTGGGGGCGGCAGGAAGGGACTCGGGAG